GCTCTGAACGGGTAAAACTCGGTCGACTTCCTCGAGGAAGTCGTCCAAAAGTACAAGATTTCCACCTGGTACACGTCTAGCGTGAAGTGAGGCTCTGACCGGGTAACACCCGGACGACTTCCTCGAGAAAATCGTCCAAAAGTACAATATTTCCACCTGGTACCCGTCTAGCGCGACGTGGTGTTCTGAACAGGTAAAACTCGGTCGACTTCCTCGAGGAAGTCGTCCAAAAGTACAAGATATTCACCTGGTTCGTGACTAGGGTGACGTGGTGCTGTGAACGGGTAAAACCCGGTCGACTTTCTCGAGACAATCGTCCAAAAGTACAATATTTCCACCTGGTACCCGTCTAGCGCGACGTGGTGCTCTAAACGGGTAAAACCCCGTCGACTTCCTCGAGAAAGTCGTCCTCTAGGGCAATATTACGTCCTGGCTCTCGACTACCATGGCGTGGTGCACCAATCGAGCATGAACGAGTCGACATCCTCGAAGTAATCGTAGAATTTTACGATTATCAATGCGAGAAAAAAGTGTAGCAAAAGTGTATCTCCGAATCTATTCCTACACTTTTCCTACACTTTTTTTTCCTACACTTTTCCTTCATTTTTTTTTCTACGCGGGATAGATAGAGAGAGATGGAGGACTTTGATGCACATGCAGATCCGAGTAGTACAACGCGCGAGAGAGACCACAAGTATGCGCTTTTTGCGGTCTGCGACGAATTGCGGCTGCACTTGGTATGGCACTAGGTGAACGGGGGGCATCATAAGGCTTGCAAATTATAACAATAGGCTCTTTTGTTATTTGATACGCGTCTTGAAATTTCGCGGAAAGCTGCGGTTTGCAGCTATAGCGGCGGCGGCTGCGGCCCGTCGTCGTGTAGAGAAATTTGTACATATATAGAGCTCCACATATTATATGCGAGCACGAGCTGTAATGCACGCGCTACCTCTCATACTTGCAGTGTAAGTGTGCTATATGCACAGCTTACGCTTGGCGCGCGCCTGGCACGTCGGCGGCGTACGGCTCGCTGGTTAGCATCGCGACTCGTTGATACTTTGATACTTTGGTGCGTGCATCTTGCGGTCGTGAATTATTCACCAATTTTTCGCGTGCAGATTTAGGCCGAAAATTCTCGCGAGTTTGGAAGAATCGAATATCCTCACCTGCTTCTTTGAGCTTGAACTCAATGAAGCCCAGCCACACGGCAATTTGCACGATCCTCGCGATCGAGCGCTTGATTTTCTCGTTAACGCGCCGCAACGACGACGACTCGACCACAATTGCCACGGGGGATAATTACCGCTCGTTAACTCGTTTCGTTACGATCGCAATGATTTATTTCAAGTGTGCCGATGCAAGACACGCATTGTGTACATAAATATTGTTGCGAGCTGCAGCGACTGCACGATGACGCTGTCGCACACTGCAACTCTCGACAGCCTCGGCCATCAATCGCCGCATCATCGCGCGCCTCATGAGCATTTCTCGAATAACAAGCGCGCCTCATTTTTTACACCGCGCGGCGAGATATTTAATTGCGATAAATGCGCACGAGGACTAACTTGACCTGCTTCGCTCGGCACGGCGCACCATGTCCAAGTTCAATTGATCGCGCATGACTTGCCACTGTCATGGTTATGTCACGAGCACGAGCTGCGACAGGCATAATGTAATAACGAATTAATATAAAAGAAACGCGCGATAATTAATTTGCATCGATGCGCGCACGAGTATATTGCTTATGTGATTATCGATGATACGATATGATTTAATGATTTGTGTATGATTTGTGTTGCAGCACTCGCATACAGGATGTCTTGACAAGCAGAGTCGACTGAGAGGAATTCCTCGGAGAGCGATATTCCCATTGATACACGGTGCTGGCTGCAGCCGCGGACCAATTCCAAGAGTGGATCGTAATATCGAGCATCGACAGCAGCAGAAGATCATCTAGCAGTAGCAGTCATGGCGCCCGGTCAGCAGCTGTACGAGCAGTACATGGTTCCCCAGATCGCCAAGATATTCCACAAGTTTCCACACTTCAACGTCACTGCACATCTCGTTAATAGCACCTTCAATCCCAATTCGGAAATTTACCTCGAGGTTTGTGTAATATTCAGTCTCGTGCTTTTTGGATTATTGCATCTTCGTTGACACACGTACATGAGTTTTTAATTCCCATCCGAATTAGCTCATGAAGCGACAGAAATTTTTTTTTCCTTGCAATTTAGTGATTTGACGCCATAGTACCATGATCCGTTCCAATGTAATAACTTGATCTTCCACGCTTCTGTAGCGAACTCCACGTTATCGTACCAACGATTTTGAGGATCCGGCGACTGTTTGAACATTTTGAACTCGTTGAAAAAGTTCATAATCATTAAGGCATTGTTTCGACTCATTGCGTATCCTGCCTCCTCAAGTCGTTTGACGATGACCAGAACGCTAGCCGCTAATTTCAATTTAAAATAGTATGAATCATCAGCGGGTTTGAAAACCTTGCCAAAATTTTTCGGATAGGGAAAAATGAAAATGACCTTAGCCCTGCCGTTCAAGAGTACATTGACGGTATCCGGTTTGATATTTGCTACGGCCAATTCCAGAGGCGTATAGCGAGACTTGTCCCGGGCGTCAATTTTCAACGTTTTTCCATTTTCTTTGCACAAATTGAAGAATAGTTTTACCAAGTCAGAGCGATCGTGAATATCCTTACATAAAACGTGCAGAGGTGTCGACCCCTCTAAATCGGCCAAATTTGGATCGGTCAGTTCTTCTTTCAGCACCAATTCGACAACCTTCTTGTGGTTTTTGCGTAGAGCCAAGTGTAGCGGTGTCCTGCCCTTATGGTCTCTAGCATTGACCTGTATCGGTTTAAATTTGTTGTCGCTGTAAGCAAATATATTATCTGCAAAATTTTTAACCTCGAATCTTTTGCAAATAATATGCAGAGCTTTTGATCCCTCGGAGTCGGGCAAGTTAGGATCCGCGCCGTATGTCAGCAGTAGCTCGGAAGTCTTCTTGAGGCCGTTTTGCAAAGCATAATGCAGCGGTGTCCGACCCCACTTGTCGGTGGCATTGACTTGCAACTCAATTCTTTTTTTTTTGTCAATTTCGAAAAGCTTTTCCACCAAATTGGAACAACACACTTTCTGCTTGCAAATTTGGTGCAGAGGTGTATCTTGATCCAAATCAGCTTTGTTTGGATCAACGCTAGGATGTTCCATCAGCAATTCTATATAATGGTGATTAAAACACTTTACCAATGCAAAGTGCAACGGCTGATTAACTGATTTACCGAGGCTGAGCTTGTGTTCCAAATACTCTTTTATTATACTACCCGCGTTGTACAAGCAGGCCACATGGAAATGTGACAATCCCGATTCGTCCGTGTAGTTCGCGTCTCTTCTCTCGTATATGCGGAATAGCTTTCCGCACAGATCGTAATAATCTTTCATTTCGCTATTATTAGGGTAAAAATATTTTATAATCATATGTAATGCCGTAGGGCGAAGTAACACTGGCCTATTATATTGATCTACTTCGGGCTCGTCCTTGTATTCAGAAAGTAAAAAAACACACGGTCCAAGTTGTAAGAGTTGGGCTGCACCTGCGTTTAGAACAATCAGCGGCAATGATGAAGGCTAAGTATGCTGCTCTCTCTTAAGCTTGCACTTAAGTCGTCTTGGAAGAAGGTGCGCTCGCTACAAAGCGATACAACAGACTGGGTAGATTTCGGAGTTTTCTCCTAATTTATAGCCGAAGCGACTGCATTGGATACGCCCGCTTCCACAAAATTCGTAGAATACGTAACATTGCCTCTAATCTAATTATGTCTGGTCCACGGTCTAGTGAAAGGTGCATGAGCATAGGAATTACGGCGTTTCAGCGTTAGATTAGGACTAACGTGGACCACATCCACTTGTGTGGTGCCTTTCAACGCACTGCGTGCGCAAGCAGACCTATTCAAATCGTTCGAAACCTATTCGGAATTTTCGTTTCAATCCGGTGTCAGATTTTTGATATAACTATCAGGTCAAAAGTAATGGATGGTTTTATAAAAAAAACGCGATTTCAAACAAAATTGTCTTCTTTTCAAATTTTCACATGAAAATCTTTTAAATTCTGGCGTCTTCGGTACAAATAAAGCGTCCATGGGTCCTTCTCTTAAAGTCATGATACTTTTACAACTTTTATAGAAGCGATCTCGAGCTTCTCGAGTCAGATGTATAGAATGTAAATTTTTAACCGAAAGTTATGTAGCTCTGGGATATTAATTCGAGTAGCGCACACCGGACTGATGACTCTCAACTTTTCTACGTGGACGTGGTGCGCGCGCGTCTGCTTTCTCTCTCTCTCTCTCTCTCGCTGCAGCAAGAAAAAACATCGGCGTCGAATGCATCGACGTTTTATTGGCTTTCGAGATTAAAGGCAACACAAAAAAACGACAGAATCACGGTAGCGCGAGTCAGTAACTTTTCCAGCTCGAGAAGAGAAAAGAGAGAGAGAGAGAGAGAGAGAGAGAGAGAGAGAGAGAGAGAGAGAGGAGAAAAACCGTGATCGGGCTTCGGATATATGTATAGCTTTATGAGCCGAGTATAGCGAGTGCGATGAAAATGAGAGCTGACTATGCGAGAGGGAGAGCAGGCACTTTTCATGCACGATCGTGGCGATATTATATATACCTATATATCTACGCAAGAGAAGCCAATAATTTCAGACGCTGAGTGCCATCGGGGCTCTCCTCAGCCTATATTATATATCTAGTGCCTTACCGGGCAATTTCCACTCGAGCGAACTTTTTGACCGCTTATCCCTCTGTATATGTAGTTGAAGTCTCTTTGTGCCTTGGCTCGGGACGTGCGGCTCTCGACCCGGCAAGCGCAGTCCGCCACGTCGCGCGCGGGTCACGATTATATATGCGACAAAGATCGAAAGTTATGAGAACAGATCAGAGTCCAATGGTCAACCTTTTTTTTTGCTTGCTCTTCGCTCTCTCGTTCATCTCGTCGATGCAATGTTTATGTATCTCGGCTTTCTCTTCTCGCCCACGCAGTTTTTTTATTTTTCTGTACTTGCAAATATATATATCTGTCTCTTTTATATTTCAATCTCTGGCGAGTAGCTCCTCGCGACTTCCATTGTTCTCGACCGCTCAGCCGGAAGATCATACTTTTGAATGAATGTCGCGGCGTCGCTCGACCGGATTTCCTAAATATTCGCCGTTATATAAGCTTTACGCAAAACTGGAGCACGACAGCCTCGACGAAGCGCGAATCTCATTTCTCGAAATTCTTACAATAATTGTGTTTTTGCTTTCCCTCTTCTACAGAGTCTTGGTATACTAGCCAGCATACCGGCGGCCCTGCTCATCCTGACGCTGCTGACGCTGCTCGTGTACCTGGTGACGCGTTGCTGCGACCGCAAACCACGCCATCGCCGCTCCATCGCCGTGCTCAAGTGCTTCCTGGCCGTGCTGGCCATACTCTGTTGCGGCGCCGTGGCCGTGGGCCTCTACGGCAACGACGACGTGCACAACGGCGTGGTGCAATTGATCAGCGCAGCCAAAATTATCGACGGCACCACGCGCAATGTCAAGAATCAGACGGACGCCATCAGGGCGACGCTGGAGCGAGTCTCCACCGATCTCATCGCCCTCGACGACAAGTCCGGCGATCCGGTGTCCAACGCGACGATACTCGGCTCGCTCATGAACGCCCTGAGCCTGACCAAGGCCAATCGCACCCTGGCCGCGACGAGCATCGCCAAGATCAAGGAGCCACTGATCGCCATCAATCTGGCCGAGGCCATCGAGCTGACGGACAAGATCGAGCAGTACAGATGGCCCGTGACCATGGGCGTGCTCTCGGCTCTGCTCATACTCTGCGTCGTTCTGTTCGTCGGGGTCGCGCGTCACTCGCGTTGCGCTCTCATCACGTAAGTTTTTAGTTTGCACTTTGTTGAACAATTTTTGAATTCAACGCTTGAATTTCCTGCAATTGCAAAATCTTTGTTGATAATTAATGCATCAGAAATGATTTATTTTTTTACTTGAACTGCGCAAAAAATACATGAAAATGCACTCATCTATATTATTTTTAATGCAAAAATAAACCAAAAGGCTTAATTCTATATTGACGTCTTAATAGTAATTTATTTTTTTTTGCATTAATTGCTCAACAAATTGATGTACAATTCAATCATAATTAAAACCAGCAACCACCGCTAGATAGCGAGTATCTTTTTCTGTCAAAACAAGTGTACAAGTCAAAATTGTTTTAAGTACATACTATTAACAATGGAGATTGTTATACACGGCACTATACTTTTACATTATATACTTTAGTTTACTGACTCATCGTAACAAGGTGCTAAAAAAATTCGTCTTCTCGCAGTTTCTCGGTGTTTGGCCTGTTCGCAATCATCACCTCCTGGCTCATGGCTTCCCTGTACCTGGCCTCGAGCGTGGCCATCGGCGACCTGTGCGTGTCGCCCGAGGCCTACCTCACGCGCAACGGCTCCTCGGCCTTCGCGCGCATCGTGCCCTACTACACGCAGTGCGACCCGAGCATGTCGAATCCCTTCACCCGCGAGCTGCGCGACGTCAAGCAGTCGATCGAGCACTCGCGACGCAACATCGAGCACATACGCCAGTACGCCAATTACCTGTTCAAGGACGAGCAGCTGCAGCTGCAGCCGCGCTTCAGCAGTCTGACCAGCGACGTCAACAGCATCGACAAGCAGCTCAACAGTCTGCAGGCAATGCTCGACTGCAAGCCGCTGCACCACCAGTACGTGCAAGCTGCCAAGAGCTTGTGCATCAATGGATTGTAAGTCAATTTTACACCGTTTCGCTTTTTTCAACTCGCTAACTCAATTTTCTCTTCGATACAGCTTCGGACTCACTCTGATGCTACTCGCGAGCGTGGCTGCCGGCTTCCTCTTTACGGTTCTCGTTTGGATGGACTCTCACACGTGGATTTACATCAGAAAACGGTAAGTCGAGCTCGGTTATTGCTCGCTTTGAAATTTTGAGCCTCGGCTCGCTCTCGGACGCTCACGGTCATTTTCTTTACTCTGTTGCAGAAACGACTATCATCAAGTTAATGAGCAGGATCCATACCTACCACCGTCGGCGGCATCGCAGGCAATAGCGGCGCGAACCTTCCGAGGCCAAGGGTCGTACCCTCCGACAGCCCCCCCTCTTAATGCCCAACTTGGCAATCATACTATTAAGCAGCCTCTATTGCATACGCCGCCCCCGCCGTCTTACGCTACTGCGACCGCTCGCGCACGTCAGATGCACGAGAGCATGTCAAAGTTTGTGCATGTCTTGTTTTTTGTCTTTTTTTCTCATTTCTCTCTTCTATCCTGTCTCATTTCGTCTCGATATCAGCTCCCTTGCCATCCATCTTTTCATTGAATCGTATGCAGCCGAAATTCGCGCCTTTATCTAGGTCTTGGGCATATGTATACGTTTATACCGCTAATTGAGCCGAGAATGCTCGAATTAATATTGAACGATATTAATGCCAGCATTAAAGCAATTTAAGCTCGTGTATTAAATTCGTGTGCATATGGTAATTTTCGAGCAAATATACAGAATAGGAAAAAGCAACCATAACAGTCATAATCCGATAATCCCTCTGATAATTTTCGAATACTATAAAATTTTGCAGTTAATACACACTTATATTTATTATTATTACTGGGATTGCTCAGTTTCATTTCACTAAATTAATAATGTAAGGTCAGTCTCACCATCAATTTGAACGTTAGTACTTACAGAAATTTACTTACTCATTATATAGTAGAGAATTTAGTTTTGAGAAAATCAAAAACAGCAAATTTTTATTTGCTAACAAAAAATCCTTTGATTTTCTGCCTTGACATATTTTCGATGTTTTAAAAGATTTTCGTACTAATATGCGCTATTGCAACGTTAGATGGAGCAAACCAAGATTTCCATTCAATTTATATTGATATTTTTCTTAGACTCTCAAGATTTTCGAATGAGTTGGTTCGTTCTAATAGCGTAATAAAAAAAATTAACTGAAATTACAAGGAAATAATTAATCCATTTTGATCATAATTAATACTGCAGTCTAATAATATGTTCGATAAATGCTTTATCATGCTATCATTGTTTTTTTATTCATTTTTTTAATCATTACAAGTGTAGCTAGTCAAATTGATTTAATAATGTTTGTGCGCTTTTTGCTCTGTGCTCATAAATCATCTAATTTTAATGGTTATTCATAAGATAGGAAAATCTTCATTTTTATCAATTTTACTACTTTTGGTATAATTATGGGCTGCGTGGCGTAAACGTCGTGTCATTTATTTATAAATAAATGTTGTGGATCGGCAAAAATTTAGCATTTAGTTTGCTCGATGTTTTAATTATATACTTTATATCTCGTTAATTTTTAATGGTCTGTAGGACCTTAAATATATTTGCATCGCTATGGCAAACAGTTATTACATTAAAGAAAAAACATTATACTAAACATTACACTATATCGTATAGTGGCTGCGCTATTCAGTGGCTTTTTTTTAGTATTTTTGATACGCATTAATTTTCTTTCATCGCTAACAAAACACACGAGACCCCCGCACACAGATAACATAAATCTCTTCCAACTTGCTCGGCGATTTTTTTTATAAAATAATGTTACCACTGTGACATAAACGCACATTGTGAGACATTAGCTTTGCATAATTAGACCGTCAATAGTCATAGTTATAGTGAAGAGCACTATAAAACTTTTACCGCATAGACTAGAAACGAAATTAGAAACCCAAAAAAAATTGGGAAAAGAAAAGAAAAATCGCCGAGCAAGGGCTCCGAGAAGAGTACACACAAGGCCCCCCTTCAATCAATAAACAAGTTAGACGTCGTATTAATTATGCCAAATGTGGTTTTGTGTGGGTGTTTTGAAAAACAGCAGGGGTGGCCTCAACGGAACAGCAAGCGGCGATCACCACGGGAAATCGCACAATCAGCACAATCAGCAGGCGAGCAGCGGACGAACCGACCATCGTGCCGGGCTCGGGGATCAGCCTGGCCAGTACGCGACTCTGAGCAAGCAGTGCAAAACACTCGAGTCAAGTGATTTCTACTGAGGGCACGCCCCCTCGGGAACAGGTGAGTTAATCAGCTAATCCTCTTCGTGCTTATTGTTCTCATCGAATTTTTTCGATCAATTTTAATCATTTGATAAAATAAATAACAGGACGAGAGCCGCCATGGACGCCAAGTGTAGCGTCGTTCACAACGCACAACTCGCACGCCAGCATCGGCGGCGGCTCGGTGGTGGCCCAGACGACCCCGCACCTCGCCACCTTCCAAGACTCGCGCAAGACCCAGACTCTGGACCCGAAGAATTTGGCCAATCTGAAGCGCGGCCCCCAGCCAGCCTGGAACAGGCCTCTGCCCGTGCCAAATCCTTCCGCCAATAGCTGGAACGACATCGAGTCGCGCTCCCAGAGCAACATGAATCAGTTCCGCTCGCTGGTGCGCAACAAGCCCGCGGGCCTGCGCCAGGTGCAGGACCAGCACGCGCACCAGCAGTCCCTACAGGACCAGTGCCGCACCCTCGACCGTAACTTCTCGAGGCTGCAGCAGAACGGCGGAGGTGGCTACGCTGCGGCTGCTGCTGTTGGCGACGTCGGCAATCACCACTTGCCACCGCCCGTAATGACCAACAACGTCAGTAGTACAGTGCCAAATATGTACGGGACTTACAGGAGGCCTCCACAACAGCACGACAAGGGCCATCATCAGCAACAGCAGAATCATCATCAACAACATCAGCAGCAGCAACAGCAGCAGCAGCTTCAGCAGCAACAACAACAGCAACAACAACAACAGCAGCAACAACAACAGCAACAGCAAGGCGCGGCGCTTGGTCAGGTTCAAGGCAGCGATCCGAATCTTTACGCGGTCACGGAGCTCTAAGATGCTGAATAGAAAGGTTGCGAGGAATGCTTGAATTTTCTCTCTCCTACGTAGTGAGGCCTGGCGCACCTTCGTCTCCTAATATCTCTTATTTCGAATTATAATTCACCCGTACGTATGTTAATGCGTCAAAGCTCTCACTGCCAGTTACACTTCCCAATATTCCAGATTTTTTATAGCCGCTGTGCGATTTTTCATTTATCGTTGACATACATAATGTTTCCTTTGAGGTATCAACCATGATAACTATCGTGCAAGGGCTATAATTAATGAAACGGTAGAAAATATTTATAAAAAAAAAACAGAAAAAAGAACAGAGCAAGTACTGCCGCTGTTACTCGGCGCTTGGCGTGTGTTTACTCTTTTTTGTAATAGATTGAAAGTACGCGAAGGCGTTCGAGACAGCGTGCACGTACCTACGACACGAGAACGTTAAAGGAACCAAGTTCATACATAAAAAAAACTTCGTGTCGTAGATCTTTCAAGCCAGAAACCAAAGAAAGGATAGAAACAATATACGCGAGGTATCGTGGAGAACCTGCAATTGAATGAATTAATAAATAGCTAAAAGGAAACCCGTGAAAGTTTCCTTTCTTCGAGTAAATAATTTAGACCCCGAAAGGAATTGACCGGGTGAAAGAAGATGTTGAGAAAATAAAAAAACGAACCGCGTAAAATGTATTTGTAATCGCATGTACAATAGCCATTATACGAGTTTCGTTTTCGATTAATTTCTATCCTTTTGTAAGCCTATGTGTGTGTAACGGAAGTGCATTTATTATAATTTAATTATATACATTATTTTTAGCATGGTGATATGATTCGACAATTTGTAAAGTAAACTTTAAGTTTTTAAATGAATTTTCAACTGTAAATGTAATATGTTTTTATGTTATCTATAACTTATGATTTTCCATTATCTGTGGATACGTATCAATATAATGAACAATCCGTTTCCGGCGACAGAGATGTACATGACTTTAATAATCTTTTTGTAACAAAATTATTATTTTACTTGTATCTAACTGTCGAAATATGTGTAATAATACAAGTACACTGCCTTCGTAAGAAACTGTATTCAGTTCTCACGAAAAACTTTGTACTCTTGTAAATGCATTTTAATTGTTTTTATATTATACATCAAGGTTCATCACGAGATCATATTGTTTCAAATTAAAAATTCGAAACATTGATTTTGTTAGTCGTATGCAATTCTTTTTGTATATTGCCGATACTTTTTATACGTTTATAAGCACAACGTAGAAGTTAGATATGTATCGATAGAAATGTTTTTTTCTACACTTGAATTTATTTTGAGGCGATATGATGAAAATACAATGCGAAGAACGAAAATGTAACGTAAAATTTAATAAACTCGTTCAAAGTTCGATATAATTTATCGGTTGAAAGCCAAAAAATAGTTACCGCATGTAATGACGAAAAAATCGTTGCACGAGTAATGTAAGCGAACGAAAGACTTATGTAATTTATGAGTACGTAAGTTTTTTCGATGAGTGCATACAAATAGTGTATTTAAACGAAATAAAACGATGTAGAAATTATTGACTTAACAAAAGCGAATTTACAGTGAAGGATTTAAAGTACTGCTGTTCCTCGAGCGAACACTGTAAGATTTCAGTACAAAAAGGCGAATTTGAGACAAAAATCCATAATTTAGCTGACTTTTTCTGACAATTAAACCTGTGTAAGTTTCTTGTCTAGTGTGTTACGAAAATACAAAGAGTTCATATTAACAGCGAACGTAAAAACAATGATACTAATCATTATAACGATTTATGACTGATTTTAATAATGAATGCCAAAAGCATTTTCGTAGAAGAGCGAGAAATGATATGAATGCTTTTTATTCTAAATGTTAAGTGTTCACATCGCACTGGAAATTTTTCAAAATAAGCACGTGCTTATTATGCAAAAATTGTTCACTGATATAGTTTTAACGATTATAAGACCTCATTTTAAGTTAATATACGTTTATGTGTAGTATCATTTATTTCTTTTAGGTAGTTTTATTTATAAAAATGTGTATAGATATATTATTTAAAATAAAAAGTTTCTCGCCTAAACTCTTTGAAACTACATTTCATCACCACATTTCTATATTTAATTCAATGAAAAAATTTATAAAACACAAATTGATTTCAATACTTGCATTCACTAAATCAAATGCCAATGAAAACAACTCTTTTCTTGATTACTTTTTTACTTCTGTACATAAAACAATGAAGTTTGCTACTGATTTATACATAAAATTGTGTTGTAATATATTTAAAAAAATAAGTTTATCGTTCATTAACTATTTTTTTTTGGAAATATTAGTACTGAAAATGTCAAAGCAAATGTGTCGCGAATGAAAAATCTGTTTGATCGTATGAAAATACATCTCTCGTTCATCAAACTATGATGTTTTGAGGATCCTTGCAAGTAGTTTAACTGATAAAAATTCATAATGGTAAAATGTGCTGTTCAGTAAAATAATCATGTGAAAAGACTGCTATTCATGTTACGATGCCATAGCACAAAACGGGATCAACTGACACTCAATCATTTATCGTAGCAACTATATCTACCTATGCAAACATTTTAAAGTCATACTGTATGAAACATAGTGTGTCAAGAATAAAAAATAAGATGAAAAAAAATTAATGATATAGCAGATACTATCCTTAAAAATGTAGACAAGTCAAAACACTTTTTGATAAACAAAATTTAAATGAAACCTTTTAGAATGAGATTCTGAATCGCGCTATGTATAAAATTACGATGCTTATAAATAGCAAAGTATACAAGTGTTCTTTAATGAGAATTTTGAAAAATGTACATCGTGAAAAATTTAATTCAACTAGAAATATACATCGTTCAAAGATACGATATGGAACTTCTATTACTTTTCTTAATGAATTGTAGATACATCAAATCAAATAAGCATTATTTTTCCTTTTTTTCATGGCAAAACAGGTGAATCTTAAAATATTTGATACAAATGTAAATACCTGTGAACAAAATTTTTAGAAACTTTTTATAAATAACAGTTTTTGAAGCAATACTCATCCATTCAGGTATATTTTATTTTACGAATAAAAATGAGCAAGTCACCATGTATTGCACTAATTTTGAGTTTCACTGTTTTTGAATTATATCGATCGTTTTATAATTGTTGATTCTTCAATCAATTCAATCATGGTACCAAGTTGTCTTTCTATACTTTTCAAACAATATGAGTACAAAATTGTTAATTAACTTTGAAATGTTCAATCATCATTTTTGTACAACGTTATATTAAAAAAGACATTTCTAAGTAATCAAGGAAAATTTTCAAAAACAAAATAATGATGGTGCAATTGTATTGAACGAATGAATGATAAGTTAGATTAAATATTATACAAAATAATAATGCTACTGATACAATAATAACGTGGAATGCAAAAAAAATGAAGAACAAAAAATTGTATTGAAATTTTGAGGAAAAAATTTCATGCCTGCATTTGGCCTACCGTAAATATTCATATTAATGTTTTATTAAAACCATTCATATTATCACATGATCATTTTTTACCAATATTCGCAGCAGTTTCAGTCTTTTTGTCAAAAAAAAAAAAAGATTGAAAAACAAAGTATTGCAATTGTAATTTTACCATTGCACGTACCTAGAAAATAATCATGATAAACAGTGATGAAAAAAGAGAGTGAGAGAAAATGAGAAGAGTTTCATGAGCTACATGAGAAGCTCTAATTTAAAAAATAGAAGAACCTTATAAAAAATAACAGTATGGTTATTAAATGAAAATGGAAAATATATAGAATTACGTTTTGGGAAATAAAAGATAATGTACTGTGATGAACGATCAAATCTTTTGTTGCAGAAGTTGTAATTTTGCAGAGAAATTGAAAATTCGAAAAACGCAGCCATTAACTTCGACTTTTTATTCCTCATAATGTAACAATGATAATGCATATTTCGAGAGAAGGAAAACTAATAAAAAATATTTAAAAAAAGTGGATGTCTTACTTTTTACTTTAAGTTTTCCCTTGCATAGTTTAAATTATATTTTGTTTATTTATACACAAACAAGAGACAAATAAAGTAATACGATGATATCAAAAATATTCACGCTTTATTTTTTTAAAATATCAATTTGGTCAAAAGACGCGCTAGCGCCTTGCCTACTAAGTATGTACTTTCAATATACATTCATTTCAATATAAAAAGTTAATAGATATTTGTAAGAGAGCTTTTTTACTTAGATAATAAAATATTACATTATAAAACCAAAGTTTTCTTATCCATACCAATTCATCATGAAAATGCGTGGATATGTAATATAATGTCAATTTAAGTATTAACAACAATAGTGTTTTCAACATCTCAGATGATAACATACGTTTAAATCGTTCGAAAATTCATGTAAAAATAAAATTATCGTAACAAAACATTCCAAAAATTAATAATGGCTTTTTATCATAAGCAATTTTTAACTGTGCTTTATCGGACGATGTCATCGACATGTATGTAACTTCATCGAACTATATTATGAATAATTTATTCTTAAAAATTGTTTTATGAAAATCTTTTCCACGTCATTTACTAACAATTAATTCATCATTTACATTCATATTTTATACAAAATGTTAAATGCATAAAAAATTTCCTGAACAGAGTAACTATGAACGAACACTCATAAAAAATAATATTTATAAAATGAGTTTAGGAAATCAATGATTTCAGAGCTAACTTTTAAATAATACACTTATCGTTATCATAAAATTATTAATACTGTTCAAACCCACAGAGAAGTTGGCATCATGCCTTCGACAGTATTGGCAGCTGGTTTTAATGTCTCATTGCATAAGAAATCCAGTGGCAAGTCGACAAGATGTCCCTGAAACGACATGAACAGTTTTTAGCTGTTTATTTTTGGGTATGATTTAATTAACGCACGGCTTTGCGTAAGCATTATACCTTGATGTGCTGAACTTCCTGTTGAGCTGCTATAGGATCTCGAACGCTCAACGGTTTTTCGTTCTGATATTCCTTCAGCATCTGAAAATTAACTACTTTGTTCGTTGGGATGCAATTAAATACATCCTCAAATATTTGAGTATTCCGACTGCTTCTCGCACGCCAAACATCGTGATAGAACGACTTCTTCAAAATGTCCTTTAGCCTGATATTTTCACCCGTCCATATGAGTCCCAAATGTTCTCGAAACAATTGCTTTCTCAGGGAGCCAGCGAACTTGCCGCATGGGTATGGTATGTCGTTCATTCGACCGTCATCGAATTCGGTGTCCTAAACGACAGATTACAGTAAATTTTTAGTGCTCGCAAAAAAAAATATCGCGAATATTGCGCAATGGCGAAAGACGAGTCACGTACGTGAATTATAACAGCGATCTCGCTGTCTCTGGTGGCGATCATGCTTCTATCGTTGATATTGGCCGAGCCGCAGATGACGGTTTTATCGTCGACGATCATCAGCTTGCTGTGCACGTAAATCAGCTCGGTGACCAGCGTGCCATTGAGCACCGAGTGAGTGCGCAATCCGTGAAACGTTATGTACTCGTGAGGGTTCTCGATGCCGGCATCGATCAATTGATTCAGTATCGCGTCCCTCCCCCTGTTTCGGAACAAAGAAAAACCTCATCAATATTTATTGAGCAGTTCGAGCAATAAAATGAAAGAAAAGAAGTAAAACCAAATTCGTCACCTCGATATGGAAGCGTAATTCCAGTGAGTTATGGCGCGCAAGGCCGAGCCCGACGGACCGCCGACCTCGCCCTCGAAGCCCGGCAGCAGTGGCATGACAACGAAGACTCGGAAAACGGTGCCCTCGCGATGCGCGCGCAGAATTCGCTTCATCAGGGTCTCGCCGATGCGATTCTTCACCGAGCCATTGTCCATGCTCGAGAGCGTGATGAAGAACTGATTCTCGATGTAGATGTAGCGCTCGGCGTTGGCGATCGCGTGGATGTAGGCCTCGTGGATGCTCTGCTCGACGGTGTCGGCCTCGAGAAAACCGGCCGACCACGAGCTCACGGAGCGCAGCACTTGGCAGTCGAGGTTGCTGTACGTGTTGCCGAAATTCACGGGAGGTTGGACGTTTTGACAGTTTTTGTACGACTTTGGCAGCAGGAACGGGTAGAAGGAAGTTTGTTTGGCTTTCTCGAGCTGTGCAATCAAAACAGTCGTTAGTATATCTAGTTATTCTTATCTTATATTTTTTTGGCGGTTCAGTCTCACCTTGATGGCGTTCCATCTCTGGATGAAGTGCCTGGATACGTCTCGAGCGCAAGCCCCCTGGACCATCACACCCATATCGTGCCAAGGCATTCTTGGTGTGGTACTGCGATCGACCAAATCTTGATACGGACTCTCGAGATTATTGAAATCTTTGACGATGAAATTGGTGTAGTCCTTGCCGATCCACAGCTTGGCACCGCCTCCCATTTCGTATTCGCCTCTACTCTCGGTTCGTTCCAAGGGAGATTTCGCACTGAAATGATGACAAATCAAGCGCCTGCGAAGGAAGACATTCAAATTTTCCTTAAAATCATAAAAATCCCATTTACCTGTCAATCGTATCGTAATCCTTCTGCTTTTCTTTCTCCTCTTCCTCGTTCCTCTCCTCGTCTTCTTCGTCGCTACTTTGCTCTTGAGGATTATACACCATATTGATCAATTCGCGCCTCTTCATTCTGACGTTTTGCCTTACGCGGTCTACCGTTGTCTTCGCCACATCGAAGAGTTTTTTTCTTTGGCTGGTAGGAGTATCACATTTCACATTTTCCAAGTCGACGAGCGGGTCTTGCTCATCCACTGGCTTATTCTGAGCTTTTCTCTTGGAATGTTTCTTGGTAACCATTGGTCTTAACAAACGATTGCATATTAGTATGAAAATCTCGCTTCGAGGTGACAAGTGATAAAATATTGAATGACTCACAATATAGGAAGACATTTGGTAGTAGCCATTGCCACGGTATTAGTCGCGATAGCTAGAGGCAAAAGAACGTGATTTTGCGAGGAATCGTACTTGTTGACTGGTTTGCTACTCGTAGTTATTATTTTCCCCCTCGACGGTATGTAAATCGATGACATTTGCGACGCTCCTGCAAACATGTTTTTTTTTCATTATTAGTTATGACTCTTTTCATACTGTTTCTTCAGATCTGCGTGTACAAAATATACCTATATCCGTGAGCCAATGCTCGTTACAGTCCCAACGGCCGTAACAAAGATCGATACCTCCGAGAAAGGCGAAGCTCTGATCGACGACTACGATTTTTTCGTGATGAGCCCACAGAAATACACCAACTCTCGCGTGATCTGGATGCCTAAATACTTTGATATTTTCTGGGTTCTTTTCCACGAGACGTTGCTTGCTGTAGAAACTGTTGATTCCCAATGCTAATTCTACCTCTTTATAGATCATAATGAATACCTTGACCCCTGCGGCCTGATGAATAATTTTTTTTTAACGGCACTAATTATTTCCTACATAAAATTAACGAATTATAAAGAACTTACCGCTTTGCGCTCGAGTATTTTATCTAATCGCCAGTAGTCGTCGCCTTGCGCTGGTCTTTTAAGGTATATCTCGGGCGACAACCACCAGTCGGCTATAAATATTTCTTCGGTGGCGTTTTCCATGGCGTCGGCGATGGCTGACATGTAGTCCGAGCCATCGATAAACCAGCTGGCCGTTATGGGACATCTATACGGAACAAAGGATTTATGTGGATTTGCTTGTATAAATGCTCTACCTAAAAAACATGCGCCGACGTAGTGCAGGAAACAAAGAAAAACATACACATTCGTTTGATACTGCGTTTGGTCAATTTTTTGTTTGTTATAAGCCACTGTGACTTTAAAGATAATGAATCTTAATGCTTTTAAATTTCATTATAGTCAGTGCTCAGATCATTATCTTCATTGTCATTGTATATAAATAGATTCTGTCTAATTGTTACAAGCTCACCTTCATTTTGACAGATTTTCTGAATATGCTCCAACCACTCTTTGGCTTTTCTCCTTGTCCAGCATTTAATGACTATCTGACGACTAGAATTTATTATTTGTAAACCATTTCTGATACCCGTAGAATACAATCCAGAGCTAACTTCAAACATGTTATCCATGAGAACAACAGATTTAATTTTTCCACTATTGGGACTTATGTAGGCAAGGAAAGTATCTTTTGCAACTAAATGACGCTTGTGCCATTTAGCACACAATCCAAAACAAAAATAATTACATCTTATACAACAGTAGCTTTGCAGCAAACCAAAAATATTACATCCAGTTTTGGCTACTGAGCCAGTACGCTTCAAAACAAGAGCTTCTTTTCCATGATCACCTAATTCATTGACGAATGAAAGATTAGAAATCTCCAAAAAGTGTACCTAAAAACCAAAATTACAGTTACTGGTGTGCTGGTTTGCATTATCATTTAAAACTTACAGTCTCTGGATGTTTTTTGTAAATGTCAATCTTTAATAATGCATCTAGATAGTTGCCAATTGCAGTCATTCTTTGTCCTAAATATTCATGAGGAATCAATACTTCAGGTCTATTTGGAAACCTGAAAATTGAAAATAAATTTAGTTTTACCTATATGACTAGAAAAAATTGTATAGAAATTGAAAGGTACTCATTACCTAGGCAAGGCACCTCGTTTTCTTTTATTTGTATCAGCTTCTTTATGTGGCATATTTTTGAAACTTGATCTCATTTCTCTATGTTTTTTTGTTGGAAATGGAATGTTTAAGCTTGCTCTATAGATTTTTAATTGGTTGTGTAAATATTGTATGTGTTTGTATCTTTTTTTCACTGACCATGTAAAAGCACCATGAGTGAATTCAATTGTATACAAGTTTGGATTTAATGGATGTGTAGTAACGCTACGCTCTATGTCAACTACTTTAGCATATATTTCTTGACCCGGTATGAAAATATTCTTATGTTGCTTTGGGAACTTGGATGGTGGAGTATGAATACTTGAAAATGGTTTCATTTTCTGTTCCTCTGCATCAGAAAATTAATGCACACATTATAATTTTTGTCTATCTAATTTAAAAGAAACTATTATTTATTTTACCATGTGGAGTACTCTCATCTTCACTTTGTGCTGATTCTTCCACAGGTGATTGAACTTTAAGTCCATTTTCATCAATTGTGAAATCCAATGAATCCGGTACTTCCAAACCATCATCAAACTCAGAATCCTGAGACATTACACTCAACATGAACTGCTCTGTTATATTATGAGTAGAGCCATTACTCTGCTCTGAACTCTTCAGTGTTTCATCCATTTTATTAAATTGTAATTCTGCAAAGGTCAATGATCTTAATAGATAAAGATTTCTTTTATAGAAAAAAGTGTATGTTTAATTATTTGTATTAAAATTGTGTCACTCAACAGAATTATTAATAGATAAAAAATGACAATAAAAAATCAATTAAAAATGAATGTTTAGAATGTTAAAAATAGTAAAGATGGAAATAATGTATATTCAAATCGCCTTGAGATACGTTCGACTAACATACTTTGATAAATATTTTCTTATCTGATTTTATAATCGATTGAAGCTGAAGAACAAATTAGTGGTAAAGAATTTTAGAATTAAAAATATTAAATCAATCATGAAATTGCCACCAGAACCAGCAAAAACTCGATGCAACAAATATAATAAGATTATACCGATCACGGCCGAGTACAAAAGCGAAAAGTGGAGTTTTTACCGAGGCGCATAATATATCGCGTTACATATTCATATTGCAAGCAGCAAATGATCGCGAACGCGCGCATGAGTCAAGGTAATTTCCAGGAAAAACGTTCTCGCTGCAACTGAACTTTCCTTTTAATGGTGTTTCATTATCATTTTGTTTTTTTTCTGGCGAGAAACCGACCGCGTTGCGTTACATTGCACCGGTCGTACTCACAATTAGATAAAGTGCACTCGATCGCAAAAATGCATGAAACGATGACAATTACAGGCGCGCGTCGAAGTGCAAGAATCGCGCAAGTGTATGAGAAATAAATTGCGAGTCGCGACGAGTGATGATCATCGATGGATTAAATACGATCGATTGCAACAGTTGCGTGCACGCGGCTGCCACTAGTAGTATATGAAGCGCAACAGGTTGTCTCTCTTCTTAATACGCACGCAAGCGAGCATCTTCTATTTTAATTCAAATGCATTAACGTGTCCGACAACGTGAAAAGCATCAGTTTTCCTAGATTATTACAATAATAATGTGCAGCGTCCAACAGCGAGAGCTCGGACACGGTGCACACATAACGAGAATAGAATGAAAAATGTTTTGGCCTTGCTCAAAAGCAGTAGACGTTATAGCACTCTGACAGCGATAGAGCCGTCGTCGTGCGCGGCGAGAGCCGCAGAATCGCCTCTCGCTCTCTCACTCACTCACTTTTTTGCACGAGACGCCGTTTTATGAAACTTGAACCTGCGGCTGTATAACTTTGTCGGTACGTAAACGCCGCTTATATCACTCGCGTACTCGCAACGAAGCGTGAAGTAATTAGTACCGATCGCACACATGGAAGTCGCGAGTCGAATCAATGAACGTATATGTAGCTTGTATTAATGACTAATTCGTAAGGAGGGACTCAAAATATAAACAAGAGGAGGACGTCTGCACTACTTACACACTCGGCGCACTGCGCGACGCTACCTTAATTGTAAAGATAACAACCTATAAGACAAGACAGCACCAAGGAGAGATGAAAACAAGATAAGCATCAGCTGATGTTTTTTGTTGTCCCTCGGCGTGCTCGATCGCCGCGAGTACAAGTAAAGGTATGCGATGCGCGCGGCAGACGCCACAGCAGAAGCGCAGATATATATTCTTTGGAAACGGGACAATTGGCAATAATCGGCGCTGCCGTAGGTATACACAACTATATAACACGAGCGAGTGCGTTCGCTGCCGTTGATCGCTAGCGATTCCGCGAATGACTGTTGATTCGCGCGCGCCGCGGCGTGTCTGCTGCTGTTGCCTCTGCTCGCACTCGTGTTATAGTTGTATATAGTGTCGGTGCGCTGCCCCAAGAGTCGAGCGAGAGGCGAGCCACCACATCGCGCGAAAGTTGTCTGCAAGTCGTCGTCGTCGTCGGTGGTGGTGTGCGTCATCATGTACGTATGTCGTATGCGTGTATGTGTTTTGTATGGATGTGTGTATGTGTGAGAAATAGCGGGCAGAATAACGCACGGCACTTTGCATATAAACTTGAATCGAGGAAGAGAAGATTGAGGAGAGACAAGAGCAAAGTGAGGAGGGGGAAAAGCAGCTGAGCCGACGATCGCAGCGATTTAAATTGCTCCAAACTTACTGTGTGTTTGCGCTATATAGTTATACAGTATACACTAACCAGACGAGACTCCGAGAAATTGCCGAGTGCGCTCTGTTTATAATATTGGGGAATCTCGAGGGGAACAGAGCACACCTATATAAAGTAATAAGCGCTGCAAAAAAAAAAAATACTTTCACGCGTGTCATAAATGAAATAGTCGAAACTTTCGGGTGTCGTAAAAGCAAAGATCGATCGTGTGGTTAACATTTAGCAGCACTGTACACACAAGAGAAGAACCAAAAATGTTCTATAAAGGAAAAATCCAACCGATACTCGCGTACAGTGTTGAGCCGATACGTCATGAGTCGACGTAATAAATAAAAAATAGCACATGGCACAGACGTCCCACGACTTTTAAGACCTCGTGATTTTTATCTATATAATTTATAAACTCGATCGATGCGTATGTGTGAGTGATTTTCGGTTACATTACGAGCAAGTTTGGAAAAAAAATGATCGAAATCATCGAGGCGAGTCACGCGGTGCTCGTGCGAGGCTATTTTTTGCGTACACACAGTATGTTGTCTCTCGGTTATCAGTGCCCGTACCAGATTACTATAATATTTAAGTAGCTACCTGTTTATATATTTGAGGTAATCGACGAAAATTTGCAAACAGCCAATTACTCATATTTCTTTGTCGATAATTCGGTACAAAAGAGACGTTATTATTTATACAAGTAGCTGCAGCAAGCTTTATAATATATGTCGTCAGGCACTAATGCGTGTCTCGCTTTTGCGAAATCTGAGCGTGACTATGGCATAGAGTTTCGCACCGATAACATTGAGAATATGAAAACTATATACGATATGATTTTGTCACCAGCGCGCGTTTAACTTTGCGATTATCATATATTTATATGGTTGATTCTCCCGAAATCTGCTTTTTCGGGTATGGAAAACGAAAAAATGGTGAAAATTTTTTTGTCATATTGAACGGCGCGAACTAGTTTACCCTTTTTTAAACCATAAAATATGAATAATTATTGAATCTGGGGCTTTGAGATTTCGTTTTACGAAAACTATGTCCGATTTTATGCTTAAAATCGACTATTTTCGGTTACGGAGGTGACACACACGGAGGTGACAAATCGCTGCTTTGATCAACTATGTAAGAAAAATAAGAAACGCACAAAATTTTCCGCACAACCCGAAATTTGGTCATGAAAAACGAGTCTTTTGACGGGGCGAGCGGTTAAAAAGAATGATCATAGCTCGAGATATTCATGTCCACGGAGGTGACCGTTTTTTTGACACACGTGAATTTTTCAATAGAATAATTATCGCAGCATCGATAAAATGTAAAATTTGAACCCGCAACCTACACCAATCGAAAGCTGGGCTATAATACTTGACATTTACGTATCTAGCGACATCAAAAATGAGTTAGCGACCCAAAGCAGGCGGTATGTTTGAAATTATTCAGAAGCATGATTAAAATCCGAGACATTTTTCAATTGCGTGGGAAATTTTTTTAAAACATTTTTCAAAGCCCTATAATAGACTTAAACTTTACTCTGGATGTATAGAAGCTGGTCTCATAGTTATTATAGGGTCAGGTGCTAATGAGAATGCATGGTACATGCAAATAGAGTTGATTTTGAGATGTAGACATGCCACGGAGGTGACATTTGGCATGTATATCTTCACGGCAAATTTAACTGACCCTAAAAAATTGAAATATTTATGTCCTATCATGAAGAATACAACAATATTGAATGAATGACCGAGCCAGTTTTGGCTCATCTTCACTAGTTTAAGAATATGGCATAAAGACATGCAAAAAGCAGATTTCAGGAGAATCAACCATATGTGTGTTTTCGCAGTGACTAACGAGTTTCAAGATGCTTCGGCCAAGTCGCCAAGTAGTAATCTCTCGAGACGTGCTTGTGCACGACAACGGAGGGAACCTCGAGATGTTTGTGTGTGCGTGTGAAGATTGAAAAGTTTCTTAGCGATTCGAGCCCAAGAGTACGTTGCGGCTGCACGAGGAGTTTGAGATTTTCGTCGGGGCCAGAAACGAGTCCCAGCACGCCCGATTCACAATCCCCCGCGCGTTCAATCTTGTGGCTTCAACAGAGAGAGAGAGAGAGAGAGAGAGAGAGAGAGAGAGAGAGAATTGTTGTATGTTATTACACATACGGCTTGTGGCTTTTTATCCTTCCTCCGCCGCGATCCCAAGTCTGCATCGGCGTAGCAGTGAGTGTACAGCTGCTGCTGCACCAGCTCACCGGACGTGCCTCCGTGTATCGCAAGTTGCCGCGCGAGAATCTCCTTCTTTCTTTCTCTCTCTCTTTCTCTTTTTCTTTTTCTCATTCATGAGTTCATTGAATGTCGAATCGAGGAAAAGACTAGTTCCATGCACATCTTCAACGCGAAGCGACTAATGTTTTTTTTTTTCTATCATTCATCCGATTCGACCATTGATCCCTTGAATCGTACCATTAAAATGTTAGTTTTTTTTATTGGAACATAGGATTTCGAATATTTACATATTAGACGAGTTCTTATTTTCCAAAGTATTTCTAATATTTCATCTTTGCTCAGGACGGAATTCGATACTGGTCGAAAAACTAATCGTTGACGCGTGCCATAACTCAAAACACGTGTTTTGTTTCTTCGCTTGAGTCGTTCTTTTTCGAGGTAAAAAAATCACAAAAATTGAAAACGTATTTTTGTTGTTGTTAAACTTTTTGGAAAACGTTCATTCATGGTTTTTTACCGTTTTTTTATCATCACGTTTTTAATCATTGCGAATCTCTATCTCGAAAAAGAACGACTCAAACGAGAAAATACGAGGAACAAAATTTCTTAGAATAAATTAAGAAAATCGATTTTCATATTTTGAGTTGCAGCACGCATTAATGATTAATTTTTAAACCCAGCGATGAATTTTATCAGTTTTTATACCCCAATGATTTAAAACGACGCCCAAAGCGAAGATAGAAATACTTTCGGAAAGTAGAGCCAGTCCATTATATTTCAGGCTGTTTCAAGAACCAAATCTTAACTTACACTTATTGTAAATTTTTCTCATTCGTCGCGGGAGGCCGTATTACAAATCGTGTTCCAAGATGCTACATCACTCTACTTTCAAACGCTCATTTCCGGCCCAACGATGCAAGTAGGTTAAACTAAAAAATTTTCGTTTTCAAAGCTACCGAAGCAGATATTGGAGACAAAAACGAAAAACTAAAATGCTATAAAAGAGAAAATATAAACAACGATGCTATCGTTTGAAGATCGACTAAAGTGCTCCGGCTGAAATTACGGCACACCTGGTAGAAAAGGATTGGATAGAAAAACTTAATAGTAGCCATAATATTTTCAAAAGACATAAAAATTATCGCATTCGAGTGTATTTGGCTTCGTAAAAAGCTTATGGGGAAAAAATAAAGAAACAGAGTTTGTGAGCCCTGTGCGAAGTTGAAAATTCCGCGAGACAGGCGCTTGCGCGCTTCATTCATGCTGCTGCTGCTGTTACTTTGGGCTCGAGTCTGCAATGGGTGCTCGCGTGGATTGGCTGCGTCGTCGGCCTCGACAACCAGACCCCCCCGCCGCAGCGTCGACCCAACGGAAGGAGCCAGTCGCCTCGCGCCTTTAGCACCGAGCGAGATTATGGTATTTTCACAATCTACACGATGTAGCTCTAGCTGCACAGCTAACTCTGCTGCCCGAGGGATCGATTTTTCCTATACGTGTACGCGTACTCGACTACTCAAGCCCATGACTCAGCTATGCAGCACGCGTGAATAATCGATGGGAATTTTGAGTCTCGTCGCAAGTTGGCCTCGAGATAGATAGAGAGAAAGAGAGACGAGAGAGACGCCTGGGCAAGTCCAGAGGCGACCATGTTAGAGACTCGAATTTTCGGCGTGGCGTAGATGCTATACTTATATACCAGCTCGAGAGCAGGAGAGTGCCACTATCGGAGCTGCAGATCGAGTCGAGTTTCTCGACTCTCCTCTTGTGCTCCGCAAAATATATACATCTATATAGCTGTACAGCAGCCATATAAAGCCACTGATATAACTTTACGACGAGCGAGAAAGAGAGTCCTGTGCACTACACTGTGTACACGAGGTACTCTCGGAGCTTTTGATCTTGCCCATCGTCGTTCCAGCATCAGCGACGTTGCCCTGCGTATACGAGTTGTAATTTTGTCGCTTCGAGTAGCAACGGCAGTGAGCCGATGGTCTGCTCCTTTTCCCTTACAAGTATATATTGTAACCAGGTATATCCCCAAGCTCGACGCTGCGGCTATTAGTTTATTCCCGGCCGACGCTTTTATAAATTATCGCAGTCATCCGAGTAATCGCGTGGATATTTTTACGATACATTGTAAAGTTCGTTAAGCTTCGCGTTAATCTCTCGTTACGATATGTAATGTGAAAAAAGTAATGAATGGAAAATAATATTAGAAAATGAATATCGTTCCAATTAGAGCTAGAGGGATTTCGAGAAAAGTACGTGATCGTACGATTGGTTAAGTTGCGATCAAACCTCGATTTTGTCAGGGTGAATTTTTTTGTACACGCCTTGCTGCTTTTTTTCAAGGACCCGATCTTAATATATAATTTTGGAAGAAAGGGGTCAAAAAAGAAGAAAAGGGAAATGGAGTAAGTTGATCGACACATAGAATACAGAGAGAGAGCTAGATATGGCAAGCCACCGCAAGTACATCCGTATAGAGGTGAGAGCTTCGTCACCGCATACCTTATCACACAAGCTCGGAAGGTGTGAATAGAGAAACGTTA